AGCTGAATTAGTGACTAACCTAGGGGTTTAGATCTATCACGTCGCGGACACGGAGCTAACAGAAACCTGTAGATACGTCACATTATAGCCCACATACTCTCATATTCCTACTACGGCCTTGTCAATCAGCGAAGATGGGTACCGAATGGAGGCCCCAAGGATAGCCGTTACCACTTCAGCTATCCGCCCCCCGAAACCCTCAAGATTGAAGGGTGATCGAGTTACAACTTACCAGCAAACCTCGATTCTTTGATTTCAGTAAGACACTATAGACTTCAGAAAATTGAAGGAGGAATTATAGCCTAGCTACATATTAACAAAGAAAGGGAGCCCTTTTTGGACAAGAGAATAAAAGTTTTATCAAGTAATCCCTAAAGCATTCAAAAAATTCGCGAATCCATTGTCGTAGAATAGGAAGTACTGTAGTGTTGAAATATATATTTCTACAACTGGATTTAGTATTTTCCCACAACTTCTATGACCATCAACAACGAAGATATTTAGACCCTCTAAAGAGAGTTTCATATGTCTTTACGTACTCTAATATTTATAATACAGAGGAATTCCTTAGAATTTCCTTCAAGTTTTTGAATCACTTTAGGAATCGTCGTCGTATTACCCAAGACAGCGTTAAATAACGGTATTTTATTCGAATTAATCAGCAATTTTATGCATCCTATTTAGGCAAGGTCGCTAAAATTTATGCAAACGAGGGTCACGGAGGGTCAGTGAGGGTGACCCTCGAGGGACCCTACGAGGGTTGAGGGTCGGGTGAGGGTAACACACCTTGGACCCTCACCTAGTGCGGGTCATGCCGAGGGTCTGGATTTTGGACCCTCGCGAGGGTCATGCCGAGGCCTATATATATCCAGTCCTCCACGTTTGGTATACCGTATATCATATACTCGTCCTCAGTAGTCAGTATACAGTATACGATATTCGTCCAATTAGATCCCGTTGTTTCGTATACTCTTATCTCTGATAAGATAACGGTATATCTTTCCTATTATCACGTGATCCCTTGCGTGTCTCGTACCAAGTGTAATCCCTTTTCACTTATTTCCACTGCCTTCGCCTCAAATCGACAAGGCCAGGCCCTGGGCAAGCCCTTGTCCTCAGGGCTCACAGGGCAGCTGAGAAACTAGCCTCAAGAGGCCAGCCGGTAACAATACAATGGGTTCCAGGCCACTCAGGGGTCGAAGGGAATGTGTGAGGGCTCATTCAACAGTCATATTGGAAGCTAAGTACAAGAAAACCAAACATGGAGAAAGAAAGAAAGAAAGAAAAAGTTAGGAACATGAGGCTATCTGCAAACGAGATATATTGTTTTGTGATCACGTGACAGGATCACGAACCGTCCTACGTAACCCTAACACGTGACTTCGCAACCCTATCGGAACTTGCTGTGCACTAGCACAAACTCAGTTAAGCTTAATACTCAAAGATATCTTTAGAGTGGAAATATTAATATTGACCTTATTCTGTACACTCTTCTCTATCTACATCTTGATGGGATTTTGGACACTATTTATGCTTGAGAATCGCACCGAAAAGACTGGCTAGTCGTTACTACCAATTAAAGACAGGACATGCCCCAATCGGCACCTATCTACACCGGATAGGCCGACGGGAATCGCCTGGGTGTCAGGCATGCAGGGAGCCTCATGAGACAGTGAGGCATGTGCTTTTTGAATCTCGAGGACGCCGTACAGGACGGAGGCTTTATACCGAGCCCTCGAGAAAGCTGGAGTGCCGCTGCCTACAGCGGCTGAGGAAAGTCCTGAGGCTAGGCTATTTGCTGAGCCTAGGGCGACGCAGGGTTTGCTGCAATTTGTGGCTGAAGCCAACCTGTTTAATGATAAGGAGCGGACAGCCAGAGAGGCTGAGTCTAGTGATGCGTGGGGGTGGGATACGTTGGAGGAAGGTGGCCCAGGTGTCACATTGGAGGATGAATAGGGATAAGGGCACACTAGTCAGGGTTTGTACGGACTAGGCGTGCCCACGGGTTTATTATTATTATTAATCAAGTTTATTGTCCGTACCCAGCCCTACTGGCTATGACAGACCACCGGAAGCCTTGGTGACACCCTACTGGCCTCACCCCTATCAGAATCATGTGACAGAGCCACCTCCGTCCCGGCTCCGTACCAGGTCAAAGGTGAAGCCATTCCCGTCGTAGGGCTGCAGCCCTACGGGTTGCCAGATAGGGAACCGCCAGAGCGGTACTGTATTTAGCAAGGTGCCACGCACAGAGATTATATAGATCTCTGTGGCTGGATCGAGAGCTTGTTTCCTTCCTTTCTTTTTCTCTCCATGTCAAATATTCTCGTGTACGTGTACCTCATTGTATGTAGCTCAGCTCAGCAATACAGTAAGATTGACCCTTTCACATAATATTTGACATCATTTCTTTTCTTACCCTCTTGTAAATCAGTATAGCGGACCACTACGTGTCTCGCTCTGATCGAGAGGTCCCTCTTTCTTCTTTTCTTCGTCTCTGTAAGCTCGTACAGCGTGTGACCTCGTCATTGTCGCTCGGGCCAGAGATCCCCTTTTCCTTCCTCTTATCTCCTATTTTTCCATTTCCTATTCTCTTTTTGACGTTCGTCAGCCAACACGATGGTGAAGGAACCTGGTCAAGACAGTGCCGGCAAGGCACTGAGCGCAGACGCGCAGAAAGACGCGAAGCAGAAGCGTCCTGAGGACTCCAGACAGAAGCGTCCAGAGCGACGTCTTACCCTGGATTTCACTGATTCCCTCGAGAAGGAGTTCGGTGCGGCGGCGGTTTATGGAGATGGGTCGTTGGATTTCTCTGTATTTCAGAAGCTTTATGAGAATTATCCTGAGAAGCTCTTTGATTATGTTTGCAAGCGCATCAAGGATCTCGAGCAGACAGTCATCAAGGCGCGGGGACGAGATGCAGCCGAGGACTCCGAGTACGACGAGGAGGTCTCATCGTGGCAAGAGCAGAATGCCAAACTGCAGAAGCAGGTAAAGGACCAGCGGGATGCCATGGTCGAACTCATTGCCGAACATGACGACGCGCTTGCTCGCATGCGTGAACTAGCTCGTGAAGGTACAACCTCAACTACCTCTATTAGCCAGAAGAAGTCCACCAAGCTCCCCAACAGAAAGCGTTTCAGTGGTGGCGATGACCCGAAGTTCGCCTCTTGGTTGATCGATGTTGAGAACAAGTTGGAGACGAACGCTGATCACTATCCAACTGCGTTGGCTCGTATGCAGTACGTCAAGAGCATGTGCGAAGGAGCAGCAGCGGAGCATCTCGTGCCTCGTCTCCAGAAGGATTCGCTAGAACGCTACCGTGACGCTGATGATATGATCGAACACCTCAAGACGATTTATCACAACGCCAACAGTGTCACCAAGGCCAAGCGCGAGTTGCGCCGACTGTACATGAACGACACCAAGTTTCAGGATTTCCTTTCGAAGTTCGTGCTTAAGGCGCAAGAGTCGGAACTACCATCCTCTCAGTGGAAGGATGAGTTGTACGAACGTCTATCCCCCAACATGCAGCGCTAGCTAGTGCAAGCGAGCTACAACGAGAACATGTCATACCGCGACTTCGTCAAGGAATATCACCAAACCGCGAACCAACTAGAGATTATCGTCGAGAACGAGAGGCGCGCACCAAAGAATCGTGAGAACAAGGGCGGAAATGGTAGCGGCGCCAGCAAGGATGACAAAAAGAACAAGTCGGGATCAGACAAGCTGAAGGACGATAAGAGTGCGGCCAAGATCTCATGGGCAGAGAAGAAGCAGCTCATCGCCAAAGGAAAGTGCTTCAACTACAAGATGAAAGGACACATGGCCAACGAATGTGAACTCAACAAGAAGGACACCCCCGACCTCAAGGCCTTGGAAGCTGCGAAGAAGGCCGATGTAGAGGAGAGCTCGGAGTCGGAAAACGACGACGCCTAGGAAAAGTCTCCCTCCTGGGCGAGATCTGTGCTGCTGATGCGTTAGATCTATCTCAGTTAATTGGTAATGACAAGGAAAGTTTGACTGTATCTATCCGATTAGCCAAGAATGGATTATCAATTTCAACTAAGGCATTAGCAGACACTGGAGCCAATGGTTTTGCGTTTCTAGACCTCTTTCTAGCTGAGAGGCTCGCTCGACACTTCAACCATCATGTCGTCCCTCTGAAGAAGCCATGTCAAGTAAAGGGCTTCGATGGGAAAACCGAGAACGCGATTACTCATCTCATGATATTGTTGTTGGTCGTTGATAGACGGGTTATGTATAACCTCCCCTTCTTGATCGTTCGACTCGAAAAGCACGACGTGATATTAGGTCGCATGTGGTTGGCAAAGTACGGTGTCATGGTTGACTATGCCCGTCGTCAGCTACTATGGCCAGAGGAAGTCTCCCTGAAGGAGGAGATCCAGGCGAAGCAGTTCGTACCACTGCCTAAGAAGTTACTCCTACGTGACCGCGAGATAGAGATCTCTCACCAGGAGGATGCGGAACAGCGGGACAAAGCCTTCAATCAGCAAGACGTTACAAAGCCGCGCATCCCGATTCCTCGATCGCACGGAGGAGACCTCGTCCAAAAAAAACCTCGCGCACCTATGAAAACGCACCCACGCAGGTAAAAAGTACTGCTGGAAAGAATCTCAGTGAAAATAGACCTCCTTGACAGTATATTTACCAACTTTCGCCTGCTCAATCGACGCGGTTGAAGCATGGGCCCGAAAAGAGGTAAAAAGGGCACTCCGTGGCCAGAACCACGGTTTGCAGATGACCCTGATATACGCGCATATGTAGCTGCAGCCATCAAAGATCTCGAGGCACTGAAGAAGCACCAAGAAGCACTGGAGATTGGCATGCCCCGTGAGCTCTCTACTTCCGTGGTTGACGCGTTCTTATACCTGGCTCGAAGGGTGAAGAATACGCCTACGAATGAGCAACTAGCGCAGCGGCTCGCGAAGGTCGAATTACACGTGGAAAAGACGCAGAAAGAGGTATCTCAGGCCTCTCGAGAGATTACTACGACCAAAAGCAACACGAACCGCCTGGTGGAGGCAATATGCCACCCAACATCCCCAGGGACACGTACCGCGAAAAATTCTCCAAGCTTCAGTCACGTGACAACTAGCTCAGAGTCGTACGTACAGGCCTGGGGACGTAAGGTGCCCTCGAACCCTCCCACGGTCCCTAGCGTGGGATTGAGTAGTGGAGGAAGCTTGCCATCAACCCCATATCCAAGCCAGGAGGACCTAGAGGTCTATCTGGAACATACCGATCCAAATATCCTCAACCCGATACGTCGATTCCCGGATAAGGTGGTGGAGAAGGCAAATCTCGCAATACGCAGCACTCAAGACACCACCATCGCACATCGACGAATTGCGGCAGCCCGTATACTACCTAGTGGCGATATTATACTCTTACTAGGCACAGTGGACGACGTCGACCAGCTTACCCGCAAGAAGGACTGGATTAGGGCATTCGGAAACGAAGCACGTATACGAAAACGTACATGGGGCGTCGTCGTACACGGCGTCAACACGAATATCAACCCCAAACAGCCTCAATTCATAACCACGCTTACCTCAGAGAACGCCCCGGTGTTCGCGCAGCTTCCAGCCTCTATGAATGTCATACACACGGGCTGGCTCCTAAGCAAGTATAAGATCAAGGAACAGAAGCTCACAAATGCCCACCTTGTAGTCATATTTGATAATGAAAGGATTGCTAATTTTGCAATCCAACGCGGCCTTATTATTAAGGGAAGACAGCACAATATCTTAATATACGACAAAGCAGCCAATCTCCAGCAGTGCTTCAAGTGTCAGATGTATAAACATATCGCTAGGCACTGTCAGCGCCAGATCTGCTGCGCGTACTGTGCTGGATCTCATGATACAGGGGATTGCCCTACACCGAAAGAGAAAGAATACGCTAAATGTGCTAATTGCACCGCAGAAAATGTCTATATCAAAGATCCTGTCAAGAGACTTAATACGAAACACTTTGCGTACGCGAGGGAGTGCCCGATACGAGCTACATGCCTTGCAGAGGCACATTAACGACGTATATACAGCCCATAATATTACACTCCTGTGATACGACCTGGCAATAGTCAGCCCGGAGCCATCTCACCAAATGACCCTACACCAGCTGAAGCAGCCAATACAGAGTGAAGTCCTCGCGCATTGGCTCGTACAGCCACCACACGTTGATCTGCCAACTCAAGAAGTAAGAGCGCAGCAGCCGCCCGAAAACGAGTGGCAGAACGATCTGAGCCCGAGCCGATAAGCCCTACATCAGGTGACCCTACCAATAGATCCTCGAAAAAGCCTATGAGAGCGCAGTGGGATAAAGATCTAGTTATAGATGCAGATCCTAATCCTGAACCTAAGACAGGACCTGAGACCCAGATCAAATATACATATAACACACGTGCACGTTAGAATACGAAGCCTCCACCAGGAACCCCGGTTCTGCAATCAGATATTGCTCCACTAGAAATTTCACATGTGCAAGCTGTTAGGACTGTCCGCCGAAGTAAGAGTGTGCGTACGATCCCAGACGATGACTCATCTGAGGATGAACTTACCCAGCCATCAATCCACGAAGCCCCTCAGGATCCAATCGAGCCAGCTCAGGAGGCTGATACGCTAATGACCACGAACCTTGAAGACAGCACCTGGGCTAACAATCAGTAATGTATCGTAACACCAATCGACTACAAATCCTGCAGGCTAACTGCTGGAAATCGCGGGACGAGGTCCAGATGCATCTCTTTGGTGAGAGCGAGGTGCAAAATTACGATATCCTGGCTATCCAGGAACCCTACATCAACAAACATACTGACCCACTAACAATATACTCACTAGCGCTCAAGGGCAGCTTCCATATCCTACTGCAGCCCACACCCAAGGAAGAATACAAGAAACGCCCACGAGTCTGTTTCTACGTCAATAGAGGGCTAGATCCAGCCACATGGGAGGTCCAATACCATAATAGAGATCTGAGCATATTGACACTTCATATAGCCGCCCATGGAACCATCCATATTCACAATGTATACAATCCAGGAGTCAATAGCAACGAGGAATCTGTAATTAGCGCCCTGCAAACCGCCATGGCACCTAGGGCGCAGCATATTGTATTGGGGGACTTCAACCGACATCACCCGCTGTGGGCGGGCCCGCGGTACCGACACGTTGACGAGGAGCCACCGATGATATCTATGGATGAGCATGGGCTCGAGCAGCTCTGCCACCAGGCACGATCACGT